TTTAAAAATTGTCAGTTATCTGTTTTACTCTTGGATAAGACTTGTGTTTTATGTCCATCGTTTTTTCGTCATATTGAACTGAATTTGTATTTTAATGAATTTTTGTCTTGAAAATGGTTTATTAAAACCGAAACGTCTGACGTCGACAATTCTTTCATTTTAACTACATTTATGGATTTTTGTTTGTTTTTCAAAATTTCTACATTCTGTCGGATTTATATCCATTTACTTGCTTATATATATATATATATATATATATATATATATATATATATATATATATATATATATATACACATAAATGTAATGAGAACAAAAATAATATAAATTCTAACATTCACAGCATTAATTCAAAAGAGGGCTCAATACCAAGAGTAGAGCAATAATTATTTATTAGAATTTTTACATACAGACAAAACAACTTCCTCACTACAAAGATGCATTCTTGTTTTGATTTTGGTTCTCACCAGTTGAGATGCAGCCGCATCGAAACAAGAATACATCTTTGTAGTGAGCAAATTGTTTTTCTCTGTATGTAAAAATTATATCAGAGCAATATTAGGCAGATGAATGACAGTGTTAAATTTGTGTGTAACTCATTTCGACCTCTAAAAGAACTTCATCAGATTAAAATAATGTTTTTATTGCTGGAGTTATATGTGTAGTAGGAGTGGAGGTGTAAAAATGCAAGCATAGATTAGAATTATCTACCAAGGAGAAACACAGGAATTTAAATTAAATTTTTTTTTTTTTTTTGATAGATGTGTTTGGACATATAGTCTAATTGGTCTCATTCAGTTTTCCTACACTTTCTAGCTTCTGTTTTTATCACTTTTTTTTTTTAATTTTCCCACATTCTAATAACAGAAGATCTACCAAGAAATATATAATTTTCATGTATGTGTGTATGTACATAAAAAAAAAGTTTCACATATGTATATTTATGTTGATAGGCATGATTATATTTTTATATAGACAATTGTTATTATTTGCTCTTTGAAAAACAGTTTCTATAAGGAAATTTTATAAGAGCTAGTTTATATCTTTTTCAATTTATTCTAGCTTTTATTTGAATAAGTTTATTAAACCTTAAAATCCGCTATTATAATTTAAAGTTATAACATTTGAATTTATTTGAATTTATGTAGATGCAGTGTGGGGTATAGATACAAGTCATTTTAGCATATTAAGTTCCTTGTCCTTTTGTTTTTTATCATGAGTAAGTTCAAAAAAGAAATTTCTTGTTGGCATACAAAAAAAAAACTTCAAATACCTTGTCAGTTAACATCTAATGATATATACATAAATAAATATCATTTGTGTAGAATGATATTTATTTAACAAAGAAGTGTGTTTCTATTTTCATTATCTACTTTGCAGCCTCTGCCCCACTATGATTAAATCACCTCCATGATCTACATTGTTTTGATGTTAGTTTCAATAGAAAATAGACATTGAAAAAAATGCACTTCATTTCTTGTTAAAGAAACATTAAATACATATACATTCTTTGCAATTATTTTTTAAAAAATTTTGACTAGTATATTTTCCAATCATTATATTTTTGAATGCCAAGAAATTTAATATAGTTTGTACACTGCAAAAAAGTTGTTTAATATTAACATTAAATGACTAATCGATGTCATTGTACCAGATACAGTTTACATTATGACTTCAGTTATTTTCAAATGAGATGATTATTGTTGATAGCAATCTATAAATGGTAATTTATTAGTGAGTAGTAACAAGATATCATGTTTGGATATCAGACTTAGTTTTTAGAGATATCACCAGGAAAGACATGAATTTTAAAAATTGCACTGATATTTTTTCATTTGTGAGCGTATACTGTCCCTTATTTAATAGGTCATGCCACTGGCAATGGGTTGTCAGATAGTAAGGGAAATTCTGATCAGGTTTCTTTCATTTAATATGAGTGCAGATTTAACCTTTAATCAGATTGTTATTAACAAAATCTATCACTATATCATCACAACCTAAACCCAATTCTTTATTTTATAATTGTATGTGTGTGTTAGTGGATCATTTCAAGGTCTTTTCTATTTTGACTGAGTTACTTCAGACAGAGTATCAAAATCCAGTGAGCTTAACAGGTTTGTCAGGTGACTGGAATTTGCAGCTTTGAGTTTTGTAATCACATAAAAGTTTGGGAAAACCCAGAAGACATACCAAAACCTTTGGAAATCTGTCCTCAACAGGATTGCCAATGTTGCTTATTTCTGAGATAATCCTCCTCTATCTCCATGAAGGATAATCTATTTTATGCTTACAATAAAGATTGTTGTCAGGGTTTGCTGTTCCTGAGATGCAAACATTTTTACAAAAAGAAATAATTTTAGATTTAGTGAAAATAAAATAGCCAAAGCTAAGATGTTCCAAAATTATCGTGCATTTGGGGAAAATGAAATTTCTATGGGTAATGAAGAGATACTGGATATTGTCTGAACAAACAGATTCTAAGTGATATGATTGCTCTGCAACTAATTTGAATTATTTTTTTTTAATTTTTGAAAGGTAAGAAAGAGACACAGAAAAATCATAATGAGTTAATTTTTAAAAAAATTCTTACTATTATCGTTTCATAGTTGCTATTTTGTGTAATTAGCTTAACTTGCTAACTGTTCTATAGTGAAGAATGTGCTACTGTAGAAAATAATAGAATTCAGAGATATATGTTTCTGTATATATTTTCGATGATATCTAAATTACAATCTTTTCCAGGTGATGTTATATTACAAATATAAGTATATGTAAAGTTTCTGGGTAATGGCATTCATGGAAATAGTCATGATGGGGTAATAGCCAAAAGTATTTGCCGATTGCTGGAGTAATGTGCAGATGCTTTTCCTAGAATAAAGTTTTGCTTCTTGGCTATATGCCAAGTATTAGAGTGTACACTCCCTGGCATTCAGGCTGGCAGCAGTGTGTAGTATCTGTTCCCCATCTCACTGCTGTTTTTCTGTCTTCAGCCAGTTTATAGAAAAGCTTTGAAGAATGCTTAGTCTTGAGTATTCCAATTCTGTGGTAGTGCCTCCCTCATTGTACTAAATAGGGAGTGTTGGTGGATACTTGACATACTAACAGTGGTTACAGGGACTGGACATTTTTTGTTTTTGGCACAGATGTATACATAGGAGTGCTTTGCATTAGAAACCTTGTGCCACATCTCACCACCATGGAGAGACAAGTACATAAAAGATCTGAGTGTAATATCTGTGCACTTAATGAAAAAGTGTTAAAAAATGTATACATGTTATGTTTGTATTTTTTATTTATTTTATTTGTGTGTGGGGCTGTGGATTTTTGAGTGGAGAGGTTTTTTGTTTATTTTGTTTTGAGTTTTTGTTCAATGGTTGAATTAATGTTTGATAGCCTGTGTCATGTTCTATTAAAAATAGGATATCATTGATTGAATCTACAATACCTTGGGAAATTTAGTTCACTTGACCGTAAACTGATTTCCTTACAATGAATTTCCTTAGCTTTGTCTTCAAATTGTTACCCAAAAGCCTACATTATTAAGGAGGCAAGATATTGGAAACCTGTATGTATATGATACTACGTCAAAAATTTGTAGAATTGGACCATTAAAAAATGTTGACTTAACCTGATATCAAATCTCTATCATCTCTTCTTCAAATTTGTCCTCTGTGCATTGATTTACAAATACCTGTAATTCTGTATCCATGTCATACAAATTCCCTAAACTTTTGTGTAACATTTCCTATTACAATATGTCTGAACAGAACATTGTTTCATTCTTTAGAAAGTATAACTTTTATGCAAGGAAGCCTGATGGCCATATCATGTTGGAACACCAACTATTGTATGATCACCAAAGTTAAGCAATATCAAGCCTGGTCAGTACCTAGATAGGTGACTGTTTGGGAATATCAGGTGCTGTAAGCTTGGATGTATGAGTGGTATAATGCATAACAGCTTGGAGAGCTGAGTTCTAATTCCATTCAAGTTCATTATATTCATTTATGTGCAAATACTCATGGGGAAAATATGAATCCATCTCTTCTTCCCCCAGCATTGGGTTAATTAGTAGGATTTGTATCCATATATCATTTCCAAAAATTCTTACAATCTGAAAACATTTTTTGGCTTTAAATAACCTGCAAAAGGTTGTTAAGTCATAAAAAAAAACAAATCTGTCAAAATTGTATGCAAGAAACAAATGGGATGAGAATTCATGCCTGTTGCAACAAGGAACAAATGCAAAAGTAGTTTTAATCAACATAAATTACTAAACAGCAAATGGAATGATAATGTTATTTGCACATGGCATTTGTATATTTTTTAATTTATTTAAAACTCCCTCTCTTTTTGTTAATTAATTTAAGAATCTGTGTAAATTACACAATATCAGATAAACTTTATAAATCTTTATTATCTTTACTTTGTCTTTTACACCCTCTGGCCTACTTGTCAGTCCTAGAAACCTTTCAGGCAGTGTAGACTGAGTCTCAGTGAATACAGGGTGAACAATAGCTGAGCAGTGCTAAATAAAAACTAGATGAGATATCTCTAGACATGGTCAGCAGAATGTGAACAATAAAGTATTCAGTTTGAAATTCCCAGAAACTTATTTGGAATGCCAAATAGAGGCTTGAAGGCACAGCAACCAAAGCTTTGGGTTAATAATAAAGTTGACAATAGTCTGCATGTAAGTGATAACTTCTTATCCAAGAAATTCAGACAGAATCTTACTAAATCATTTTAGTGTGTGCTTCTTCTGTATTGATACAACTATTTTATACACTTCCTTGTAAACTGAACAACTTATTTTTTATTTTGCTTTATTTTATTTTAAAATCACTTTCAACATATTTTTTTCTTCTGATTTGTAGGATATTATTCGATTGGTTGTTGGGCGGTTAACTGATGGTGAACTTTACTATTCACGATGCTATGCTCTCAAGTTGGTTCATACGAAGTCACGGGAAAGCTACTGGCTCCACAATGATCTTACC